TCACTGTAGACCTGTGATGTCGTTTTTTGTTTAGCGAGGGCTTAGAGTGGAATGTTCCTTTAGGAATAAGAGGGCAATTCTTTCATTATCAAAAAATATGAATTCACAATAAGAAAATGTACAAAAATGAAAAGGACTGCATACTAGCTTTTCCTTTTAAACCTGTATATGAAAATATGTCATAATGAGTAGCATGTAGAATAAAACATGTTGTAATTTTTTTAAAAAAAGAAAATGTATTATACTTTAGGTCTACACTACAGCTGTTACTCTATGTAGTGACACTTCTATTAATGTCCACCAGATGGCAGAAGACCATCATACAGAGGCAGGGGCCTCATTCTTGTTTCTAATGAATTCCAAGCCTGCTTTTAGGAAGGTGGAAATGATTCTGGACAATATCATTTGTAGATTTTTGCCCACTAAATATCAATCTCACTTTTTAGAAAGTGGAAATTATTTACAACGAAAATTACGTGAGTTTTATGCATGAACTCAAAACATAAAAATATCTTTGGAAAAATATGAAAGTATTATTTTCAAAATATATAAAGGACTACTGCTAAAATAGCATAAACTACTATGGTTGGATGTCTATGTTTATCTTGCCTTAATAGTAGTGAACAGTTAGATGCTTCTAATTTTAAGAATCAGTAGGACTCCACAAAGAACTTTATATTCCTTCCCAGCATGTTTTCATCATTTGCTTTCTTCCTTTTTAAGTCTGTGGGAGTTAATTAGGTATTTGTTTAATAGTTTTAAATTTCAATTAGAAATTTATTTTTAAAGCACTCCTTGTATTTACTGATAATTAACAATTTAGTAATACATTATAAAGCTATAGCTAAATTTTATCTTTTAGATGCTGAATCACAAAATTTCATGGAACAAAACCCAGATGCATGTTAGAAAATCTTCAGGAGAAAAGCCTATATTTCTGTATATGGTCTATAATGTTGCCAAAGGGTGGCCCTTCTATAAAATAGAACTGGATCTTTTAAGTAACATTCTAGTTAATTCCTTATACACTAATTTATGTTCGAACGCAAAGCTGGGTAATGACCACTGGAGAAGTAATTAATACACATTAAATTTTCCAAGTTTTCTGTATGTTTTCTATTGAAATCAGTCTAATTATGTTATTAGAAGGATATATATACTACAAAGCATATTATCTGTATTAAAAATCAAGAAGAGTTTTCCAGATCAATATGTACTCAGACAACAAAAAAAAAGTAACAAAAAAAAAAAAAAGAAAAAAAAAAAAAATTCCCTTGATAATGGGGAATTCATAACTCTGTCAAGGTCTCGTTCCTTTCCTCAGAACTACATTTCATATCCTGATTCATTTCCACATCTACATGTGATCTGGGTCATAGTTACTGATTCCTTAGACAATATTGGCCAAAAAGGACAACCTGGTCCTACAGGCCTCTGGCTGTGAGGCAGCCTCTGACACATCTGGGGCCCACGGCAAGTCACATAGAGTGCAAGTAAGTGCTTTGGTACCATACACCTGCAAAG